CATGACATTAACTAACTACTCAATATGCAACTTTTCACCACGTAGAATTTTAAAATATTAAGTTTGAAAATTCCCTTTTTATAATGGAGCTCAATGGGAAAAACTACATAATTTGAATTATTTTCAAACGTAGCGGCGCGATTTTGATAAAATTGACAGATATAATAAATATTGGTAAGACGAAAGGTTTGATGAAAAATGAAGAAAATTCACCGTCCTGGTTACGCAAACTATAGAAAAATCTGAAATAATCATAAAAACCTGTAAAAATAGATTGAAGGGGGTGATATTCATTTCTAATGTGCCTTTCACTACTACAGGGTAACCATAATTTTGGTACTGATTTGATTTTTCAATGAAAATCATTTCTATAGTGTATAGTCAGTTTAAATAATACAATTGCTATATTTCTTTACTGAACAGTGCAATCATTTATTTATTTATCAACAGTAATGCAAACTACATATTATACAGTTAGTAAAATATTAAAATAATTCTATTAAAATTAAAGCATCTAGATGACATTAAATAATTACATATTATATTGATAGGCATATTATATTATAGGATTTAAGCCAATGACTCAATGCATTGTAGATGATTAAATTTAACATATGTCCTGATTCTAGACTATGAACGAGGATGGTAGTCCGAATTCAAAGCCTAGACTAGAAGACATAAGTGAATTGAAGCATCCACTATTCATTGAATCATGTGCTTTAATTCAATTTTACACATTGCAAAATATTTTTTACAATTTCACTTAACAGAATGATATTTTTTCAAAGATATGTTGTACTTTTAGAATCATTTGCTTCAAAGAATTGAACTATGGCGGCCTTTACTCGTTATTTTACGATTTTTGCTGTAACTCGAAAAGTAGTCGAGCGATTTTGTTCATATTTGGTATATGAATACTATAAGCTATAGTACTATAATACTATTAATTCCTAAATGTTCCGTAATTAGTATCTTTATACCTTGCAGTGAAGGAGTTAAATCATTGGGATATGAATAAATCATGCAAAACATATTTTGTACATATTTCTCATCATTTAGGGTTACCCAGTAGTTTACAAGCTGACCTTTGCAAAATATATTTCACTTACTATCCTCATTCGCTATCACGCTATCTAGTTTCTTTCCAAATTGGCCTGAATTGCCTGGTTTATTGGTTTTAGCGAACCGTCCATTTCGTCGAACCATCATTTTGCTAATGTTGTTTGTGATGAATATACAATATTCAGTTACATATAACTGTACAGCAACTTTATGCAAGGGAAGGTAATTGTGTGAGAGCACATAAAGTACACGAAGTATTGACCCACTTGTCTCAGTGAATCTTATAAACAGTGCATAAAGTTTTTTCTATGCAATGATTGGCTCACAGTTACTTATAGTGTAAGTTATTTTATTTCTATACAGTGTGGAATAGAGTGTATAAACTTTTACAGTTTCAAGCAGGTTTTAGTGTTTTCTGACCAATGATATATTCAGACTTATTCATTTCACGATTATGTAATACTGACCTACATATCTGTATAGCATATCTTTAAACGACTATTTTCTAAGCAGGGAACAAAAGAAATCCCAATAAAGAAAATAAATCTGTATCTTGATTCTATTCCATATAAAGTCAGCAACATTTCAATGTTATATCTCCATGGAGTGGAAAATTGTGGCAAATGAATTACATGTGAAGAATGTTATAAATCAGGGAAAACTTTTAAAAAGAACTCCTGGGCAGGGTGCGTCATAAGGCAAATTTCTAGGGTCCGTGGTCAAAAGGACCAGTTTCCAGGCAATAATATGTGATCCACATGAAAATTAGCTGGACATATTTGCCCACTAAATATTCAAAACAAATGGTCCATTATAGAACTATATAACTGGTCCATACAAAAATTCTTATGACACTGCTTAGAAACAAAGAGAAATACATTTGAAGGCCCTAGTATTCATTGTACAGTATAATGCTTACCAAAGGCAGGTGATAGTGGCTAACCAAAGGTGTTTTCTGCTCTTGTAAGATGGGTATGATCTCTTGTGCTTGTCCATATTATACTGTTTATAATATTCCCTCTTCTTTCAATTACTCTTCTTATCTGGGAACACTTCATCCGGATTCTCATTTTGCCACCTCCTAGCCAGACTTTTTCTAACCAAATTGATATTCCTTTACACTGAACAAACTATGTTCTCTTGAAAAGGAAGCAGACAACGTTTGAACTTTATTTTCTAAACTTGACAAAATAAGGTGTAAACCTGACTGCTAATTAATTCATGTTTTGATGTCCAGTAGCAAGTGAATCGGGTTACTAGTAACCACTGCATAATTGTGACTAAAAGGCAAAGTGGACAAACAGACCAATAATTTTGAGTCAGGAAGTAATCTGTGAGAAAAAGGTGTGGCCCCAGTCCCCCGGGTCCCCTCTTATGACACACCCTCCTTAGACTTATGGTCTCAATCCGGAAAATATTTAACTAGAAATGGCAGAAAATGTCAACTATTCACTTATAAAAGTAGAATTCTCCATCCCTCAAAAAGCTGATTCATCTCTCTCATTCCAAAAAGGGGAAAACAGGCAACATCTCACAAATCGGCAACTATTAACCTTTTCAATAATCAGTGTTATTCCTAGAAAATGGACGAATCTTAAGAATAATACATTGAAGAACAACTCTTCAAAGAAAGAATTACTAACCCCTCATCATTTGTCAGATAAAACACTTAATAAAAAATCCTCGAAAAAAAGAAATAAAGAAACCTTCATATCTAAAAAAGTGGATATAAAATAACAATATAAAGGAAACGAACATGAAATATTTTTATACACTTGCAAAAAGTGGAACATATGAAATAACATATTATTATGTAAATGTCTTATTTTTCCTTCCTTTATAATTGTTATAATTTTTGTTTGTACATGCACTTGACCCCAAGGGGTGTGAATGTACTTGAAGAATAAATAAATATATTCCAGTTCAGAATACAGATAAATACAATGACATGCAACAGCAAGAAATGATGAACATTTCACAGACAGACAAATTTCCATTGTGTGATGAAACTTGGGGCACATGCTAGTGCATTGTAGAATAACAAAAGATATATGGAAGCAATTTCCCGAATGAAGGAAAGAAAACTACATAAAGATTTAAACCTAGCCATTATCAAGACTAGAGAGAAAAGGTAACAGATCTAAGGGTATTGTACTCCTATTTTGAAATGTGCCATGTGAATCTTTTTTAGAAAACTCAACTACAATTACAGCTGTACATACTTTTTCAAATTCATTAATTACCTTAGAATATATCTGAACAGCATTAGGCTGCTAGATCAAAAAGGTGTAAATGTATGGATTTTGATGAATAAACAGAAACATAATTAAATTTCTTTTTCATTTTACAACTGTAGTTGGTTCAATGGGACCCCAAGAAGTGTTGTATCATAGTCAATGAGTGATTGGGCGAATGCTTGTATTGATAAAACGAATGAGTACCAATGAAGATCAGTAAAGATCATGTATTATAAAAAATAAAAAAATAAATTAATATATTAACATATAATCAATCAATATAGAATGCCTATTTGAAGCTTGTACATGAAATATATTACTGTAGAGGTGGAAACTTTATAAACTTTACCGTATTTTACTGCGGATAGGAGGTCAGCAAAATTAACAACGTTTCGATGGTATTCTTGGTAATTCAGTTCATCCACATTTGGACATAAAATTTCCGTTCGACATTACACTTTTTTGAGTCTTTACCTCAAATGATGATATTGTTCCATCAAAAATCGGCAACAAGAAAGTTTGTTTTCACCGTTATAGCAATAACTAGACCAGCAGTTACTCTGGCCAAATTATGCTCTATAGTTATACAATTAATTTTGATTTGCACAGTTTATCTGCCCATTATAACAAGTTACTTTGATGTTTCATTATATTCCAACATAATACTAAAACACTACCTCGCGCATATTTGTTAAAGACACAAAATTTATTCATTTCAAAGTTGCATTTAAATCTTCTGCACATGATCAAGTACCATCTTTGTGAATGGGTGAATGCTTACTTTAAACATGGCAGATTACAGAATGCGAGTTTAAATTCTAAATATACAGTGTAGCTCATTTGGTAAAATAAAATTTGACAATACTAATTTAAGGGCGATTTCGTAAAGTTTCATTGCAGCAAAGTTTCCACTTCAACAGTACTTGACTATTTGGAGTAAAATAAATATAAAAATAATAAAAAGAGATCGCTATGTTAATGTGCTATACCGAGGACTCAAATATGCCTATGTTTATAGGTCAAAGCAGAAGATACATATGTTAATGCGCAATAGCTTGTTTACACATAATAAACAATTGTATCAAATAAAATTGTAGGATATAAACATAAGTTTAACAATGCAAACATAAGATTGTGACAAGTAATAACAAAGTTTAAAATTGTCTTACATCATACTAGACACTTATGTACGTACTACATTGTAAATAAGGCATTGATACAACAAAATGTCATCAACACCTGTAGGTCATTGCAAATGATTATACAAGACATTAACATGACAAAATGTTACCACCTAGTTGCTCACAATATTATTAATTCAATTCTAAGTCAGATTTGAATTTCTGAGAACTTGTAGATGATTTTGAAAAAAATTGGTCAATTTGGAGCAAGTTGAAAAAGGACTGTTTTGGGCTTAAGAAGGTCATTGAAGGTCAAATCTTTTTTGACCTTGAGAATCCCAAATCTAAAGTCAGATTTGAACTTCTGAAAACTTGTAGATGATTTTGAAAAAAATTGAAGTCAGTCTAAACAGCATTAAATGTTAAGGCATTGGAAGATGTAAGAGTTTGTTACAGACGCTACTTTTTGGTGGCGACATAAAAAACTGTTATGATCTTTTACAGACCCTGATGGCTGGTTCCAAATACTGACTCTAAACACTAGTTAAAACAGTGGCTTTCACATCAGAAATGGACTTACCTCTGCAAATTCAGGCTGAATTGTAGTAGAGTGAATACCCTCATGGTGGAAAAATTCCTTTACTTTTCCTGCGATTTTCATATACTCATTAAGGCTACGACAACGTATGTGAGCAGAGGCTATGATTCTGTTACCAGATAGTTGCCAAATATGGAATTCATGTACCCCTAAGACACCTTCAACCTGTTAAGTAGAAATATCAAACAATAAAGCATCTTTAGGAGCAAGGTGAATGTTTCAATGTTGTTCAAAACATCACCCCTTCCTTGATAAATATGATTTTTGAGAAAATCGCTTATTGGCTATCGGGTTGATTTTTTTCAAAGAAGTGGTTGCTATAGATCCTCATTGTTCATGGATAAGGGATGGTGCAAAAGAAGACAGTTGAATCCAATATGATTTAACCCACACCCCCATATCATGAAGGACATGTTGATTTGACTTTCATTTGATTTTTTCAAATATTTTTTAACAATGGAATCATCATACACTCCAACATCAAACAAAATAAACTTCGTTTTACCATAACTAATGTTATTCATCCCAAAGGAATATAAATTCAATTTTACCTTTTGTATAAGTTTCGTTTGAATGTCTTTAGCTTTCAGGTGAGTTGGCACAGTCTGTAGTAATATCATAGCAGATTCCTTTACTAAAAAACAATAAAATAAATTAAATCATAGGGCACTTAAACATACTCAGCTATTATTATTAAAAATATTTTATTCGTCTATATGTTTTACATACATAATATTAATACAATTTGACGAAATGGATCGAACAAGAGGCTCAGCTATACTCAGCTATTCAAAAGGTGGTTCATTTAGCTTGCATTTTAAAGAAATATCTTTTGTTGGAATTATTCTAAGAGAAACAAACAATTTAAGAGCAGAAATCTGAAGAAATATTTTTCAATGAAAACTTATATTTAAAAGATCATTTTTGCATAAGTAAAGTTTCAGAATGTGAATTTAGAATTATTTTGATTTAGAAAAAATTACTACCTGTATTGATAAGCCTTATATACACACATATACATGAACTTACATAGTGGAATTGTGGTGGATAGAATAATAAGAACCAGTAAAATGCTGGAAAAGAACAAAGTACAATATTATAACATTAATCTAAGATTGTAAGACTCTTCAATTGGGCAGACTTCATTATATTTAACTTTTGACCATGCAGTGCATTGTCAGTTAAAAATATTTCATATTTGTTGTTTGAATGTTAATAGCAAGTTTCTTTAGATGACAAAACAGTTCAACATTTCCATTGGTTGGCTATTTAACCTCAAGCTTATTATTGTCCTAAAGAGACAAACCAATATTTCACACTGGATAAATACATATAGACATGACAAGATTCTTGGTTAAATATAGAGCTGTAAAAACAACACAAACATGGCAATTAACAATGTACTTGACTAACATATCAGGGATTGAACTAACCAAATCTGTCTGGCCCAGTTATCTACTCCCGGTGTCTACGACATCAGGAGTAGATAACTGGGCCAAACTGCTTTGGTTAGGTTTGAATTTTATACAAATCAAGTAAAGCTTACAGATATGGGGCCAATAATACCATGACTAATAGGCCAAGTCAATGCATTGTAATAAAGAATCCATAAAAATTCAAATCTAGTGACACAAACACTTGAATCTGAGTTAAGTAAAATTCAGAAACTACCATTTCTCAAAGTTAAAAGTGACCATGACATAAACACAACTAGCAATGATTCAATAAATGTCCTTGAACTGGTCTGTAACGCAAACCAATCTTATCTTACGCATAGGTGGGCTCATAAATTTGTAATAATTCTATACAAAGGGTTATCCATCCTCCTAAGCAGGTATCCAGAATCCGTACCTCCTTCTTCCCCCTGCTATAACCAATTTGGAAGCGCCCGATTAAACTGAATCACGTGATCAAATTATGCGCAATGACTTATACATGATTTCTGTCACAGTGTTGCGACAGCCAATCAGATTGCGAGTCCTTAATCGGGGAAATGCTAATTGCTTATCGCAGGGGGTAAAAAGAAAGAATATATTCTGGATTTTGAAGCCCTGTGATCGGAGGATGAGGGTTATACATCCAATGAAAATCAAACAAAATCACAGAGGACCCTCCTACCACCTCATGGCCTTGAATGTGTTATCTAATATTTATGTCTCTCAAGATTACATACCAGACTATCAGTTTTTAAGGAACAATAAATCAATGCCTGCTACATGTACAAAGTGCATTAATCAAACACAAAATTATCATAAATCAAAATTATCATAAATATTCCATAACCAATCTCATACAATTTTAACATGTTTATACTGATTTCAAGTAGCCTCTCTCTAACAACCTTGAATAAAAAGTCCCATTTTAGATTTTTATTTTTAATATACCTTTGGATTACCATATGCCAGGATTTCATTCTTTGTTTTCATTAACTAATATTCCCATGTGCTCCAGATCTTTATTTGCCACAATTCCACATAGAAAAGCATTGACATAGCAATATTTGTACAGAAGTTCCCAAATCGTGTGATAAGCAAGTTTAAGATAAGATAACATGTACTTGTAATAAATTGCAATTTTACATGCAATCTCAGTTTAAGATTTAAGTTTATCAATGTAGGTCAACAGATTTAAATGTTTCATTCTATATTCAGGCCCTGCAGTCAATCTTGAAATGTGAGCAGAAAAATTGTTATGAATTTACCACCTTGACTATAGAATATCTAATGCAAGATTCAAATTTATTTCATAGAACATTTTTAATTACCAAAATTCTTTGAATATTTTGTCCAGAGGGGGTACAGTCCCTTGGGTAATACTATTTGGAGGGATACTGTTTTCAAGGGAAGTACAATCGGGGAGTTACAGTCTGGTAGTACAGGCTAGACTTATGAGAAAACAAGGTACAAACCTCATAACAGGGTCGAGATAATACTTCCAATCTCCATTGCCAAACCAGATTACTAGTGCACTTATGATAACGATTACTGAGCCTAGCGCATCTCCCATTACGTGGAGGAATACACCACGCATGTTCAGCTGGGCACTATTTTCTGAAGTGGATGGATATGCAATGTAAATATAGCGATAGTGGTATATGATTGGGACTGTTAAATCTAAAACAGCTAGCATATTTAAAAGTTTGATGAAAACTAATAATAATTTATAAAAAGCCTTTGCAAAATAAACATCATTTAATGAAAGAGAACTCTTATTAATATGATCAACAAATTCACACAATTTTTGTTGTGACTGCAATTTAATTATTCACTTTTTACTTCTTCACAATTAACTTGGGCATGATTTACTGACTTGCTTTTAAACTCTCTACAATAATCTTAGGCGCTATACACTTACTTGCTTTTTTCTTCTGTAACTTCTTTTGGCTCTTTGTAATAGTTTCTGTACTGAGTGATACATTTTCAAGGCCAGCAGGTGAGCCATTTTGACACATAGGATCCTTTGTAGAGGCACTTTCACAATCACTATCATTATTACTGTTATGAGTGTGACCGTTGTGAGCGTGACCATGGTTACTGTCATCATGTGAGTGACCATGATCTTCATTGTCACCACCACCACCCCCATGAGAATGTCCGTGTCCCCCTCCCCCTCCATGTGAATGCCCGTGAGCATGACCTTAAGAAATCAAACAGGTCTTATCAGACACTTTACATGTAAATTCAGGGCAGGTAGCCAGATATCAAGTGTTTAATGCTCTAATGTTACAAGAATTTCAAAATATATAATAAATGGGAAAAACACTATCATAGCGCCCTTAATACCTAAGAAACTACCTGACAGTATTTATATTCAACTAATTCATGAATAAACCATTCAGTTTTTATCAATACAGTATATGAATTGAAATCTGCAAGTACATGATCAGAATATCTACCAATAACTTTTTTGACTCAAAAATTTAAGAAGTTGATAATCAAATCATAAATATCATGTACTGTAAACATACCACTAAACAGAACTAGGCCAAGAAGGTTAACTACCAAGCCTACTCCACCAACTATGAGCAACAACTGAGGGTCATCAATCTTCTCAATCATGATGAGTCTTTTCAACGCCTCAATAAATATAGAAAATGTCAGAGCAATCAGGAAAACTGCATTGACTACAGCACCCAGCACTTCCGCCCTTGCCCAGCCATAGGTGTTTTTCTCTGTCTGCCATTTTGAGATCTGGAAATATAAAATAGATATACATTTGAAGAAAAATGATTTATGACCCACAAAGTACTCTACAGAACACCTACACAACAGTCCTATACAATCCGATTTCAGCTATAGTTCACAGTAGAATATGGTACCGATTGCACTTATCAACAAGCCATTTTAATATGCAAATGTTACCACCAGGCATTTGTTACAGATGCCGACTGCCAACTGTCGATCACCTCATCCACAAAAAAGTTGGAGACTATAACCATATGTCCACTTCTGGTAGTGACATAACAATGCAACTTTTGTTAGAGATTCAAATAATAATCCCCACCAATTCATGAGCTTATTAATTCTATGCTTTTTGCTTTTTTATTTTGTGAAATTCATACCCTGACTGATGCTAATCCAATAACAAGAGCCACTACATCGGACAGCATGTGGAAAGAGTCTCCTATCAGAGCTAAAGAATTAGTGATGTATCCTACGATAATCTCTACCAGGAAGTAAGTGGCAGTTAGTGTCAACATTGTACTGATGCGACATGTTTTCGTTTTTAGTGGGTGAGTCTTGGGTGGGTTTGCCATATTGAATGTAGCACCTGGAAATAAAGAAAACAAAATTCATGTGACAAGGCATTCAGTTATTCATTGCATCTTTTAGATATGATATCTGCATCATGATAAACCATGACATCTCAAATCTTCTCAGCCCTGAGATGCCATGATATAAGAACTTGATTTCGCGACTTTTGAGATCTTTCACCCCAGCTCATATTTCATCTAATTGGGGTCATAAAACTTGTGTTACTGTACCTGTTGTTGTACCTGTATGTAATGTATTGACATTAGGTTGATGATACATGATAACAATCACACTTATTAACAGTTATAACTCTTCCCATCTGATGTGCTCAGATCACAGAATATGCCTCATAATATCGGAGCATGTTTCAGGTGAAACAGAAAGACGCCATGAGCATCAGAATGTGATTTCTGAGATCAAAATGAGTCAAAATGAAGTCAGCCAGGCAACCAAGTTTATGTGAACCATAAACTACATTGGTTCATCTTAGTCCCTCAGTCATCCAAAGTTTGTAAGAATGGTTAAACCTGAGATTATAATAATGCTGTAACCAAGACACAAGTTTAGGAAATACATAATATAGTATATACTTGGAATAAATTAAAACTTGGATTTTTGATGAATGAATGTTTTATAGGTTTCTATGTGAGTTTCATGTTGAATTAATTTCAAAACACAAACCAAGAAATCATTTAAAAACGTCAATGATTCTATTGTATTGTTTACAAAAAGGTTGATTGATCTAGAAGAACTTTATGGTCGAGTAGTTTGGAATGCACTGGAATAAATTCAAACACAATATAGCATATGAACATTACTATTTAGGGATGAAATAGTATATCCTGAACATGGACCGAAATCTTTGATACACAAGGGTACAACATGTACGCCATTCAAGTATAATTCTTAACAGTATACTAGAGTCTTACAAGACAAAAATGATACTGAACAGTCGAACACTGTGAACATATTATCATTAAGTCAATGACCATTTATCAGATAGTTACTCTCAATTTGTCTCAAGTGTTCAATGTATTTTTAATTGATTGCTTAAGAGGCTCGCACACGTGTTTAGTATCAAAGCTTAATGCCTGTATTTCGGTTAAATAGAATAACTTAGTTAGTGCATAAAGTTAGTTATGGCAGCTGGTGGTTTATGACTTTTCTTGCTTTTAAACAGGTCCATTACTTCATACATAACATCTATTTGGACTTTGGAGTATTATTGATACATATCCAGGGGTTTCTTAGCAGCAGGCAACAGGAGTTTTCACAAAATTGCCTGTTGTTTTAGGGACTTTTCCATGTTAAATTTATGATTAATTTTGCCTGTTGTTTTCATTTATTTTGCCTGTTGTGAGAAATTCTAGTGAAACCCCTGCATATCTGTAATACCAAACTGTGATGGAAGGTTGGGATGCAGTGTTTTCTTCATGATTGCATTGTGCAAAATTGTATCAATCTAATTTAAAGCTTATTGCAATTTTGAACTTACTCTACCATCAGTAATTTCATGTCAAGAGCTTAACTTTTGAACCTGAAAGTATGCCTGTAGATAAGCAGTTGATACATACAATTTAAAATATAAATTATCTTGAAAAAAGTTAAACATGAATTCATTCAATTTAACCTCAGTGAATTCCTCAGATGAATATGATTGGCAAAGATTGAGTGAAAATTAAATATTATTTTCTAAATGCAGTAAAACCTATCTCATCCCGACACCACTAGGACTAGCCAAAGGTGTTTTAATTGGTAAATGTTCATAATTTGTAGTTTTTAACACGATAATCCATAGAAAATTCAAAAGTAGGACCAGAAAAAGGGAGTTTATACAAGACTACAATACTAGGGAAGATAGGCCGAGAGAGATTTCCCATCTAAATAACAATCCCAGTGAAAGTTTCCCAACGAGAAGTAATTGATTTTAATGAAGTGCATGAAAACCTTTTAAAATATAAGTTTCGTAACATTTTCGAAAAAGCATGATCGGGTCTATATTTTTGATCCAATGACTTATTCAAATGTATTTCATTATTTCTAAAAGTAATAGATACTGGGTTCTCTCCAGAATCTAATTACATGGCCCTCCCCCTGCTCACTCAATTTACCTCCCCCCTGCCCCCCCCCCCCTGGGTCCTAAATATAATCATAAATGGGCCAAGGGAAGAAGTCTTCGATTTTGAGGCAGTATGGGGGATGTGGTTTGACATGCACCCCAGAAGATGTAGGGACAGGAGGCTTTAAGGAAACTGAACAATGAACACTACAAGCATATTATCATGTAGTATTATTAAATAAAAGGTTTTCTAAATGAGATGAAGAAAAAGTAACACTGTGGGAAGTGCTGAAGTGCATTTGACAAAGTATGTGAGCAAAGAAAGCAGCGAAACTTGTTAAAAAATCACCCTGCTATGAAAAAATCCTGGGGAGATCACTGATATACTACTTTGTATATAGATATATGGCTAGGACTTTGAAACCACTGTGTACTGAATGACCCTACATATAATGAAGATACAATACCCTGTGCGCAGAGTCTAGTTATAAACTGCCTAGTATAGACTATATTACAGTTTAGCAGCCCCGGCCCAAAGATTGGTGCCTTTGACAGCCCGGGTAATAAATCATTTCAAATCTACCATGCTGACCCTTTCTCAACCAATCAGCAAAGTAGAAGGAACACGTGCTAAATACATGCTCATTAACTATGCGGGAATGTTCGAGGAAATGACCATATAGAAAGTCTTCCCTATTTTGACAATGAACTCTGATTGGCTCGGTGAGATCAGAGATTTATTGTAGACTGAAAGAGTGAAGACGAAGCTCTCTCTAAGTGAAGTCGAACGGATGCAAATGGTAAAGATACAACAAAGTTCATGATGATTCTATGTAAAAGTAAAAGTTTCAGTCCAATGCATGCTATAAAGGATTGTTTGTACCAAAAATTAGTTTTTCATCAATTTGCAGATCTAACATTAACATTTAGTTCTATACATACAACCTGGGTAAACCTTAAAGATAAGATTATAAATGAATTATCTTATAAAGTCATATCAGAGCATTCATTAAAGTCCCCGTCTAAAGTTTGAAAATATTTTTTTATCATTCATTTACTATTTGTCAGGACTTAAAAAGTGATTTTAGAGATTTTTGAACAAAAAAATTTTTTTGAAAAAAAAGTTGTGAGCATTTCATTTCTCAAATATTCAAATTTCCCGCCATTTTTCAAAAAAAGTTGAAATTTCTTAATCATCAAATATTTCTTAATGCATTTCAAAAAAGATTATATTTTTAACACCAATGCAAAGATTGAACAAAAGACACACTATTTCAATAATAAAATGTCATATTTAATGGGCCACTTCAATGTTTTAGCTTATCAAAAATATTTTGAAACATTAGTGATGTCACTAAGGTAACAAAAACTTTTTGAAAAAAATTGAAATTTAAAACGTACATGTAACATTTTTTTTTTCAATGTCAATCTTTTCTTAATATGCTAGACTTTCATAAAAAACCAATGTTGATTGTCTAACCAGGTTGAAAGGAAGAATAAATTATGTTTTAGATATCATTGTACCATTGGTTTCTATGAGAACTAAAATTTTGAAATGCATTTTTCTCAGAACCATTTTCATGCAGTGATAAGTTCATTTCTCGCTTGTTTATCAACCGATTTTCTTAATTTTTTTGGCAAAAAACAGGGAGGAAGTATGCTATGCATTGGTATGAATTGTGGCTTATTAGAAGATATGAGTGACCTCTAAAAGTTGGTTTTAAATAAATTCACAAATTTTGGAACAAAAAGTCTATCAAAAACCACTTTTTGAAATTAAAAAAAAAGTTTCACATATCACACTTTGATAACATTGGGTAAGACTACAATATAAGCCAAAGTGGTTTAAACTTTACATGGGGCCTTTAAGGTTGCATATATATACATGAATATGCAAGATTATAAAACAAAGAAAGCTAATCTTCATTTTTGTTTACGAATATCCGTTAACAAGACAAGATAATGCATCTTCTGAATACATGCTTCATATAACAAACAGTTTTTACTAGGATGTTTGTCTGTATTTGTATGTCAGATTTTTTAAACCTATTACTTAGCATATTTATCATATTTGTAAGAAATAAGGGATCCGATACTTTAAAAAGAGTAGTTTTCTCTCAATACCTACATTCTATTCATGTGCCTCAAAATGCTTCTTCATAGCAATTCCATCATGACTCTAATCACGACACTATGTTCTTTAAATTGTACTCATTTTTATTTCAAATACTTAACTTTTTCAGAGGTTGTCACAGGAATGTAGTCATATTCCTCTGCAAACTCACTTTTATCAATCTTCATTTTCCTCGTTTGATGAACTGCTTCCTATTCTCGCTTTTTGCCAAACTTTTATTCCCTAATCTCTATTGTCTAAAGGTAACTTCCTATCTTCTGGGATTGTCTAGGATAGTCATCAACTACGAAAACTATACTATGAAGTCATGTTTCTTATATATTCTTTTACTATGAAATTGTTGTTTAAATAAAAACTGTCATCCAAATAAGAAACACAACAATGAGTAATAAAACAAATAATATCCTACTACAAGTAAAGTAATTCCTTTCAAGTCGTGTGTTTACAACAGCAACTAATAATGAAGTATTTGCCTTCTTTGAGTGTCAGATATGTATTCATTTCAAATTTTTTAACATGTCACTCATGTCTATTCTATCCTATTTTGATTTGAATCGCAGTTACACTCTGTCCCATGTGTCTATATAAATGAAACTACACTTTAGTTGCTATTTATGTATAGCATATCTTTGTATGTCATTTATATACTATTTTCAGGCTCAAATATCTAAATTATCAACATTGGTAATTCTAGTGCATGTTATTTGACATGTAATATAGTAATTTTCCAGTTCAACAGCAGATTCAATAGAAACTTTGGATCCGTATCAAGAAAAAATACATTTGAACTTTTATTTTTATTTGCTTTTTAATGCAGTTTAAA